ATGTAGTATTTTATGGTACAATATTGTTTAACAGTAACATTTTCTATTATGTTTTAATTGAGTTCAAAAGAATAATTGTAATGTGCAATGAATGTAATGTATTTAAGTTATGCGATATTACGTTCTAATTGCGTAATATAACTATGTAGTATTTTATGGTACAGTATTATTTAACAGTAACAATTTCTATTAGCAGTAACATAATGAAACAAAAGTAAGTGATTTGCTTTTAGGAAACTAATGTTGCAAATGAGAATAATATGTGTATGAATATTTCAACTATGTTTTGCTTGAGTATTATGTTCCTTTTAAGTAGTAAATGGTATGGTGCATGAATAACTTTGCACATTATATTAAGAGGTAATGATTAAGTAACATGTTTTATAAAGATTTAACGTGCAATTTTTGTGTATAGCCAATGTTCTAAGTTTTCGTATGTCGAATGATTCTATGCAAATTCATGTTAAAATTAAGTATATATGTATACTCAATTAATGTAAAAGCTCTGTATGGTACAGCATGCAAATATATAAATAATTGTATCTGTCAAAAGGTTTGAAAATTTATGAGTAAGCACATCGTCTTAGCCCAATTACAAAAGTCCATTTCAATGTGTGCGGTATATATGAGTGGTATTTCGTATTTTCAGTCATAATGTAATATTGCCGTGTGGCGGTGGTGCTATGAAGTATCACAAAGCACTCTCTTGCTCTACTTAGCAAAACGTTAACATAAGTATTGGTATATGTATATGCAATGACTGATTATGTCGTTATTCATAATCAATGTTTACATTTTTGTATAATATTTTCTTAATTAATTTGTATGACACAAATTAGTGTCCTTGTAAGATTTTTACCTGTAGGGTAAAATGTCAAATACGAATAGCCCATTGTCTGTACAAATTGTCCCTAGACTTAGTAAAAAGTTAACACATGATTTGATATATGTATATGCAATGACTGATTAAGTAACTGTAATATGTAGTATTTCGTAACTGTAATAATTTATATGTAGCATTTTGTGCGTTTTGAATTTATATGTATGAATGTACCTGAAGGATTTAAACTTAAAATGGTAACATGTAAAAATGAGTAGCCCATAATCAGCAGAATAATGTATAAAACTGCTGCTACTCATTATCAATAATTGCAATTTGTACTTTGTAATCTTTTACCATTTTGTATGACATAATTAAGTGTAATTGTAAGACTTATTTTTAAAAATAGGTAATACGCCAAACACGCGTAGCCCATAATCTGTACAAATTGTCAATACTCTTAACAGGAGTTTACATGTGTATGTGTTTGTGTATATGTAATGGTAAGTTAAGTATTTGTAATGTATCCTTGCAGCATCATGTATGATTTGAATGCATAAGCGTACTTGTAGGATTTGAATTTCAAACGTACAAATGTACGAATTTGAATTTCAAATATATACAAAGTGAATAGCCCTTAATTTGCAGAATAATGTATTAATTGTTATAACTCGTATTCAACTGTCTGCATATTTGTATTTTGTAATCTATTATCTAAACAACATGACATATATAAGTGCAATTGTAAGATTTATATTTAAAAAAGTAATTTGTCAAATACGAGTATCCTATAATCCGCACAAATTGTTACTACTCTTAACCAAAATTTTGCATATGTATGTTACTGTAATAGACCTACTGTTTGGCGGATAACCAGGTATCTTTAATGTCATAATTCTATAATCTTTTTGTGATCAACTACGTAATTGTATGTTAACCTATGTAAAGATTCTGCCCTTGTTTGGCACTTTACTTTTTATTCCTGGAAACAAATTAACACTGGACCCGGCATTTTGGCTTAGAGTATTCCTCGGGAGCACTTTGGTCGGCTGGACTGCTACCCGGATGAATAGGGTTCTAGGTCTGGGTGTCTGGTGCGAGTCTCACGTGTGGCCTTATTCTGGTCTTGCTCTGGATTTTGGAGGACGTGGCGCTAAACCAATTAACCATAACGGTAAAGGGATGGTGCCCACGTCCCCCGTTCCTAATCCTAATCCTACATTAACCCTCTGGCTGCTCCTCCCGCGATTTCCGCAGGCATGTGTTTTTCTTCCTTTATTGAGGAGCGCATTTCGTTTTTTTTTTCGTTTAACCAATGAAATAAATTATATACAGTATTACACGGTTAGTTTACGCTTTGGCCAGCAGATATCGATAATTGTCCACTAAACTGCGGCGTTTGAAAGCACGTGGTATTAGCCCTCAAACTCCACTTTTTGCCCCTTTTTTCCTACAGAATGGCTTCTAGAAAACATTCAGCGATTATCTTGATTGTTTAATTAAATTGTTGAATTATTAATTAGATTTATTGGTTAGATTAATAATTAGATTGATTATTAATTAGATTTATTGAATCTGGTGCAAAGACTTTGCCTCGAACCCTGTTTTAAACTCTATCATACTAAATTGCATTTCTAAGATATTTTTTCCTCAGTGCTTTATGTTTTCCTAAATTTTATTATTTTACTTGTTTATATTATGCAATAAATAGAAATTTACTGTAATTCGACTGAAATTTATTTTAAAGAAAAATTTTTTTTGGTGATAACATCTGAAATTAGTTTCTCTGGCAACTTAGGTTCTCATGATAAAAATTTATATAAAAAAAATATTTTCTAGAAAGGAAAATGCATTTTTCAATTTTCAAATGTATATAGATTTAAAATATGCAAAAAAAATTACACAATTTTTGAAGCAATTTCGGTCCACAAATTGAGCAGTCAGAGGGTTAAAGTTATAGAGGAACGGGAACAGAATGTCGCCAAATGGTCGCCAAGTTCGGCGACGTTTGGTGATTTCTCGACGATAGCCATTTACTCAGTGTTAAATAGACTTGTCTTTGTAGTTTTACTTTTAGGGCACAGCATTGTCTCTCTACATTTTCATGTTACATGATACAGAAAAATACAAAAATTTCACATATAATTGCACTAAAATCATCTATCTATGTACAAAATGCGCAACAATATTGAATTATACAATACTGAATAATGCAAGCAATTGAACACAATAAATATATATGTAATTATGGAGATATTAATAGTAACATTATATTTTTGTAAAATAGAAGACAAACCCCGATTTTATTTCGACATAGCCGTAGCCACGTAATCGAATTTTCAATATAGAACGCTCTCCTAGTGTAAATAATTTGCAAGCTGAATATTTTTAATAAATATAAACGCACTGGCAATTCATCCATTGCTTCAGTATTGTGTAAAACAATATTACGAATCAGGGGTTAAAATAAGATCTTAGTTAACACGACATTTTTGACAAATTATAAAAAAACATGGTCTGTAAGTTAGCACCAGTGATTTTACAACGATTGAACTTCCCATTGATGTTAATTCGAAATAAGTTTCCTTTTCAACTTAAGTAAGATAATAAAATTGGTTTTCAAGTATTAGGCCATAAAATCAAACACACTTCCCTATATTTAAATTAAAGCGCCTTAAAGCTATTTCTAATCAACCGAAATTAAACACTAACGTTTTGTTGAAATTATAAAATATTAAAATTAAAACCAGTATAAGGTATTTTTCCCTGCTTTTCGCATGCCTTTCTGGTGTAGTCTAAAACGTACTCGACACGTAATCGAGAGGTCCAGGGTTGGAGTCCTCTGGCGAGAGCATTGCACATTTTCCACGTCTCCTGCTTAAAAAGCCTAAAGACTCTACAAGTGGCTCCCAAACTACAACGGTACAATAAGTTGTCACCACCGTATTTGATGAATGGATCCCCTTATGCCCAGTTGCCCTTTAAAAGGGGGAGTATATATGGTATTTTCTCACTTCTCTCCGCTTGTCTTCGTGGTGTAATTGGAAGCTTACCTCGAGGGGGAAATTGACAGGTCCGATAAACAGTCTCAAGCGCTGTAGATAAAAATGATTTTTTTTTTTTCTTAGTGTTGCCACTGTTCGCATTGAAATCGTTGAGATTTTAAAGGAAAATTCACGAAAGTTTTTTAAAATATGAATAAATGGATAACAAAAGAGATTCAAAATTCGAACTTTCAGGTGCCCGTATTTGAGTGGAGGCCTACACTATTCAAAATTTGATCACTTTAAATGGGCATACAATCATGCGGATTCTTCATTATTTAATTTCTTTAAATATAAAAAAGGCGATAATATCTGGTAGCAACAATTTGAAAAGTGATTCAACGCTTTTAATGGTTCGATGCAAAATGTCGTTTCGAAACAAAAAAAAAACCTTTCTGGGCTAGCGCCCCTTTGAGCTATTAAAAGAAATGATTGAAGATTTGATTCTATCATTTCGATTATATAACTGAAAAAATTAAATTTATTAAAGTTGGCACGCTTTTATCATTTTAATCTTTAAAATATTGAAAACACCGAACTTTATCTTTGAATGCTTATTATCTTTGAATGTTTATTGCTCAAAATATTTATATTTGATGAAGTACAGACTTATTATGAAACAAATTTGTATCATTCAGTTAACTCAATATCACGCTGAATATTTCATAAAATATGGCGAATTTAAACCGGTCTGAAGGTTAAATATGACGTTTTAGAGCCGAATTATTTCATATCAAGATATCAAATAACGCAATTTCGAATTTAAAATTATTATTTAGGATATATGGTATGAATATGACATATTTTTGTATCCGAAACAAAAACCTTGCACCAAGAACTTCTGCCACAAATTTTAATTTATGTTGTTGCGACATATTTCTCGTGCAGTAGATAAAAATAATCCATCACGAAACTGTTTCATGGCGAAAAACGTGCATAAAATGGGATATCATAGTTTCGTTTTCCAGATATCTATATTTAAACAGAAGTGCAGAAGCAAATATAAATCGATGATAAATATCTTCCATGACATTTCACTACTTAATACTCATTTCAGTTGCATTAATGAGCAATGTTGAATGCCTAATGGTTCACTGCCGTTTGTTGCAACAAAAAAAAAAACCGCAGCTGGTGGTACATTCTTTTGTTGAACTGCTATCAGGAAAAATGTTTCAGCTATATTAACTCGGATTATTAGGGAGTAGATGGATACTATTTCGGACAGAAGAAAGCTTGAAATGGCTCGTACTACAGTTCTTTCATGTTTGATTTTTGTAATTTTAATTGCAAAAGGTAATCGATTTTTCTCATTCTAAATTCTTAAACGTTTTTGTCTTTATTACCAATATTTTTTGTTTCAGAACTCTTTTATTAATTCTAAATGATGTATCTTTATTTCCCTTTCTACTATCTGAATCTAGAATATTTTTTGTGACGTCTGTAAAGAAGCATATATGTGTGTGTGTATTGAAATATGTCCAAGAAATAAAGTATATTAAATTTATATAAATATTAAAGTACATCGATATATTAAAAGCGCATATATCCAGGTACAAAATACCAGTAGCATTTTGGCATTAAGATCAAGAAAATAACTCTTTCTCATGGCAATTTCGGGTAACACAGGCTTTCTTAAGAAAAACTTCGGGCCCACCAGCGGCCGAGCGGTAAAGTCGCTGAACACTGGTAGTTCGGTTCGAGGTTCAAAACCCGCGAACGGGCTGGTTGAATGGGTGTTTCCGTGGTTCTCCCCATATGTAACGTGTATACGAGCCAGTTTCCCTTAGAAAGGCCTCCACAAAGGCATTCTTCCCTTAGGCACACAGCCCTCGAGGCTTTGCCATAACTAAATAATCTAACCTAACTTAAAGAAAAACCTCGTGCCAGTCTGAAAGTTATAATTTATACCAATCTCCTTACAGTAAAAGAAAGATCTATGTGTTTGTGTGTATATTCTTGTCAGTATTTTATTTTATGTTCAAAGGTTTGTTTTGTTAATTTTTTTTTTTTTTTTTTTTTTTTTTTTACATATATTTTAAAGAAAGAAAATCCAGCAGCGACCGAGTCCCTGATCACTGGTAAGTTCTGTCCGAGGTACGAATACCGCGACCTGACTGGGTGCATGGGTATTTTCGTGGTTTTCTCCATGTATAACGTGTTAATACGAGACAGTTTCCCTTAGAAAGTCATCCACCAAGGCCAGCCTTCCCTTCCGGTAATGCCTTAGGGTGGAACACGTAAGTAATAATGATAGAAGCGATTACAGAAAGAACATATACATTAAAGAACACAACAATGATCTCAGAATTTCATTGCTTGAACCATTCAACATAGTGAAGATAAATTTTCTAAATGAATTTATTTGAAATCGCCAGATTAATTTATAGGTTTGCTTATTTTTCAAAAATCCAGAATCAAACCAAATAAATTATTCAGTTACTTGGTTCAGATTATTCAAGTATTTTTATGCAAAAATTTGATTTTCAGTAATCCAAACCAATATTCAAAAATCAAAAATTACCAACGAAATATTTTGGCGATTTTTTAAAAGTATCTCCTTTAAGTTCGTTAATTTAAAATTTCAGAGTACCAAATGACTACCTGCTATAAAGCTTTGGAAATTTCACAGATTATGAAACATACATAAAAATATGATTTATTTTAGTTTTCTAATAATCTCAATATATTACGTAAAGGCAAAATTTTGTATTTTTTAAATACTAAGTTGGATTTAGAAGAAAAATGTGCATTTTTCTGTCCAAATCGGAAACAATTTTGTCACATTTTTGTACTTAATTTTTTCTTTTCCTAATTTCCTTTATTTCAGAAAATATTTCAAAAATTAGCATATGTCGAAAGAACTGGACAAATGAACAAAAACTGCTGCATGAAATATTAGTAAATAATTCTTTACGCCTTTAAAGTTTTTTTGGGGGGTGGGGTGGGTGGTTCGTTCATCATTCAGAGATTTTCTTTCTCTATTACATTGTTGCCAATGAATCAGTTCTCTTTATAATTAAATATTCCTGTATTTGTATAATTAACAAAACAGTGAAAAAAAGCAATATATAATTAATTTTTAAAGATATTTAAAAATTTCAGCTGCCATACATCTTTCCTCTAACAGAAAAAATTTCTACTACTGCATTTTGAGAAAGCCAAATACCTTGTTTTTCTCAAATATATGCGAAATTAAATTCATTTAAAACAAGAATAGGTAGTCCGTTCTTTCTCTTTATTTTCATCCCATTTACCAAATTGCCATTTTTAGCTTCTAGCTGTTATATCTGTGAGCAACATAAGAAAATTTTATTTGTTTTTAGTTTAATGTTTACGTCGTTCCCGGAAGCTTCTTTTTATATATGCATATGTTTATAATAATGAAATAATCACCGAAATTTCATTAACGTCTCAAATCGACGGGTACTAAATTTATAGCTCATATGATATTACACTGAAGTGGACTTGTAGAGACATTAGGATTTTTTAGAAGCAAGAGTGATGAAAAACGAGCAACGCCCTCGCCGGGAATCGAACCACGGACATCTGGAATATGCTATGCGCCCAGCGTGCAGACCACTACACTACGAAGGCATGCTTAGAGGATGGGTGAAACATCTTACATACTCTCCCTTTTAAAGGGCGACTGTAGTTTTTAGGATACCCAATCACCAAATCCTGGGTGTGGAGAATCATCATCCACCACCCTTTTAGTTCGGGCGCCAATGTAGAGACATTAGGTATTTTTTGGAAGCAGGAGTCATGAAAAATGAGCAACGCCCTCGCCGGGAATCCAACCACGGACCTCTGGAATACGCGAGCAGCGTGCTGAGCACTAAAGACATACTAAGAAGGCGGGAGAAACGAACGAGGATTTATTATATATACAGGATCCGCTCCTAAAGATAAATTTTCATAGATTTCTTTCGATTTATGTAAAGCATCAACTCCCCGAAAACGATCCTCTCTCATTAATTAAGACACAATAACACGCCGAATAAATACTAATTCAGAAGTCAAACAACAAAAATCAGCGTTATATTTACAAAATTTTCACAGGACTAGTTTCAATGGTTTTACCGAACCACCATCTTCAGCTGCAAAACCCAAATGAACAAGACAAGAAATAATGATTAGATAAGATAAGAAAACCTGGACAAGAATAAGCAAGTGGCGCCATCTGTTGGCGAAACCAGAACTAAAACATAATTTTTTTAAAGGCTGAAGGCAAATTTGGATTGGAATTAGGATCGTTAACTAGAACAGAAAGATTTTTATGAATGTGAAATGCTTCTAGAAAATCCAGTTCTCCAATGGAAGATGTTTTTTGAATAATTTTGGCAGCAGAAAAACTGAAAGTGTGGTTTTCGGACCAACAATGTTGAGCAACAGAAGACTTCTGTGTTTCCTTTTTTCTAACATATGCCTCATGTTCCTTGACGCGAAATTTTAAGGCTCTCTTAGTTTGGCCAATGTAAATTAAACCACACTGGCAAGTATCCTCTCTCAGTTTATGTAACGGTCTACAGATAGAATAAATGACTGCCATAAAGTTATCGCAAGACCGACTTTATTTACTTACATGGAAAAAATACTGTTCGATCTTGAAATTTCTAAACGAGCTGGCCCCATTTTGGCTAAATGGATTGTTGCTCTTTGCTCTTAATCAAATCTTTAGATCGTTAAGTCACAACATCTGGTGAATTTTCGAAAGCTTTTGACCAAAGTCAGGGTCAACAAACCCTTACTCGGTTAAAAGTCAAATTTAAAATGAATATTTAGCAATAAAACTCAAAAGTAGCTGTACTCTGAAAATATAAAATACAGAGGCTGTTAGCACGATTTGCAGACGATTTTGCTTTGCTGTAAAAAAAAAAAAAAAAAAAACTTTTTGCAAAAGTAGAAATTATTATCTGCTTCTTAACGATTTTGCTTTCATGCAAAATGTCGCTTTTAAAGAAGCAATAGACGGAAGGGAAGGCTATCTTTATGTTCTTTCCGAAGAAAATGATTTGTATCTAGCTATTGAAAAGCATTGTGAAAGCTACGGCTTTTCGATATCTAAAGCTTCGATAGGTAATGTTGTCAACAACAAAAGATAAAAACGTCAAAATATAGCTTCAAGTGGAAAAATTGTTCTAAATAACTATCCAAGAAAAAAAAGTGGTATTTCGAATCTTGCAAAAGTAAAATCTTTAATTTTCTAAATCTTATCTTTTTTCAAAAGTAAAATCTTAATGTTAAAAGAAAATCCAAGTCAAAGGACAGTTGCAAAATCATTAAAAAGCAAAATGTCAACTGTAAATAAAGAGATTAATGCTGATTTGGATCTTAAAAAGGCGAAAAAACGTAAGTCGTCAATATAAAAACGTAGTCTTTTTCCACCACATATTGTTGAACACAGAACGCCCTGCCGAATTCTTTATGAGAAACATTTGTCCGGACAAAAATGGAAAAATACTATGGCAGACGAATTTTGGGCATACTTAAATGGCTGAACTAAAATAGATCCATTTATTATCATTGAAGAGAAGAAGGTTGTTGAAGCATAGATACAAATGCTGTGGACTTTCTAGTTTTCGAAGACATGTTGTAAATAACTTAATTAATAGTAAATATCAACACTACAGATGCAGGTCAAACCGTATCCCACACGATACAAAAATCATCGAAGAGGAGAAAAAATACTTAAAACATGGTTCAAAGAATTTAAAGAAAGCTTTCGTAAGGGATTTATGGTTGCTGCTGGTTTTTCATACAACGGTAAATTAAAAATAAAGGGAGTGGAGAAAACTGTTAAATACGAAATACTTTCTCTTGTATTTCGTATTTAAAAATTTTTATTTAAAATATTATTCTCTTGGCTACATACAGTAGAAAAATCAGTAGAACTGCAAGCAAGACAAAAGCAAGTAACCATACGTCAAAACCCACTACTAATTAAAATGCTCAGTGTCAACTGTAAACAAAGTAATTAATGCTGATATGAAACTTAAAAAGGTGAAAACACATAATGTGCACTGTAGTTCTCCACGACATATCGCCGAAAGCAGAAAGGACTGCAGAATTCTCTATGAGAAACAATTATTAGGGCGAAAATGGAAAAATATTGCCACAATAAGATGAATCATTGGTATACTTAAATGACCACAATACAAACAGATCCATTTATTATCACCAAAGAGAAGAAAAAAATTTAGATCATGGTTCAAAGCATCTAAAAAAGTTTTCCAAAGGGATTTATGATTGGTGTTGGGTTTTGATATAACGACAAATAAAAATTAAAGAGAATC